GAAGGTTACTTAGGGTGCAGTATCTGTAGCATGCCTTGGAGAGACGCGGTATGTCTCGCTAGTTCGGAGCCGTATAAGTTTTAGAATGGTCAGGTTAGACCCTTAGCTATGGTAAGCTTGGGATTCCTCAGCGGATTGATTATGGTAGCAAGGATTTGGATTTCTCTTCATCGAGCATCGAGGTGTAAGCAGGATCAAAGTGGGGGAGAATCCTCCGAGTGTATAAGGGTAAGGGCACGCAAATCCAGACCGGGTATATGATTTCTGAGAAGGAAAGGAGGTAGTTCAGCGTTTGACGGATTGAGTAGTTCAGGGTTGGGGGTTTGAGAACTTCCCATCAGTGCATGCGTGTAAAGGGTAATGGTGGGTATGTGGTTCAGATTCAGGTTAAAGGGTCGCATGTAGGACTTGTATGAGTCGGAATGGAGATCTTGAGGTCAAATAGCAGGAGATGTTTTCGTGTTAGCAGTCAGTGGTGGAAAGTGATGTGAGACTGCGGGGCGTTTGTAGCATTCACTAGCAGTCAGTGGTGGAAGTGTTGTCAGACTACGGGGCAGCCGTAGCATTTTTTAGTAGCTTTGTTGGCGGAGTCGGGGCGAGGCCCTTATCTCCTAGCATTTAGATAGGGATCGGGAATCGGGAATGGATGAGAATGGTATGGAGTTGCCTGAATAGCCATTGAGAGATGAGACCTTGGAAGAGGCCGCTCTAGGATATAGTCGGGTGAGACCCGTGGGCAAGGCCCGTATGAGGATAGCAGAATAGGTGAGACCTGAGAGCAGGGTTGCTCAGTAGTATGGTTGGGTGAGACCCGTGGGCGAGGCCCGTGAGTTTTAGCAGTGCAGGTGGGACCTGGTAAGGATCTTAGTGTCTAGATAGGGGGGTCGAGGATCCCAAAATATTGTAGTGCCAGCCTGGTAGAATAGATTGAGAAGTATAGGTGGCGGGAGTTTCTTCGAATGTCGCTGGGAGCGACTAGTGGTTGTGTTGGGTCAGCAATCGGTGAGAGTCTGTAATCCAGATATTGATAGTTTGGTAGGGAACAGGATGGTCTCAGTTCATCCGGAAGCCAGATAAGGAATAGCAGAATTTCTAGTCAGTAGTGGTGCGGGGATGCAGAGTATGGTGGAATTCAGTTAGTTGGTCGAGAGTTGCTCGACACCGAACGGTAGTAGAAAGAACGCCAAGTGGATACTGGCAATGATGACCTGTACTGAGTAGCGGGAGTAATAGATTGGGTGAAGACAGGGTCTTCACGGTGGCAGAGGAGATAGATGGTTATGGAGCGTTGCCTTGGGAAGGCAAGGAAATCGCGCAAGGAAAGAAGGGGTGAACCCCTATGTTGCAGTACCCGGAGAATACCAGAAAGATTGTCGGTTGAGTAAGTCATGTTTCCAGGATGTTCAGGGTCAGGGTGCACCCGAGATCATTATCGGTAAGGATTGACGTTAGTCTGAATGACTGAGTGGAGGGCCATCAAAGTTAGGCAGCTGGTGTTAGAACGAATGGTGAGGTATTGGAGGCAGATCGCAGGCAGTGGAATATAGTAAACTTCGAGGACGAAGTTTAGTTTAAGTGGGGGAGAGTTGTAACACCCAAAGTTTCGAAGGCCAAGAAAGGAAAGAAAAGCTCTAATTTAAGGGTAGACTCGGCGAGTCCGAGCGGGATCCGGGTCGAGGAGTAAGCGACCGACTCGGCGAGTCGGCCAAGGTGACTCGGCGAGTCTGGTCTGAACGAGGAAAACCCTAATCCCGGGAGTTGTATCCTATTTAAAGGGTGTTATGTCCCTCCCTCAGCCCCCATATCACCCTAGAGAGCCAGTGCACCCTTGATTTCGTGAGAGCTTCCATCATTTTGAGAGTTAAAGCTTGGAGGAAGGAACTTTGGGGAAAGGAACTTGAAGGGCAAGTAGGTTGCTTCAAGGAGGAGGTGTAGATCCGAGATCTACTTCAGTGGTGTTCATCTTGGAGGTAACAAGCTGCTATCTCCCCTCATTTGCACCTAGATCTTTGTGTGTGTTTTGGGCATTCTTGGCTTAAGAGTAACCTTTGAGCTAGAGGTTCAGATCTGAGGTTGCTACCTCAGATCCATGCTTATTTTGGTCTAGAATTCCGTAAAGTATCAGCCCTTGAGTGGATCATGGAGCCTTTTTGCCTTAAGCCCTAGTTTATAGCATATTTTGCCTAGATCTCCTTCTCTACACGTAAAGTTTGCAACTTTACGTGGGGAAAAGGCTTGGGAAGGGTGGATCTACAGTTTGGAGTTCATGCATGACTCAAATGTCCTCTGCATGTAAGGAGATCTGAAGGGACTCGGCGAGTCCTTTGAGTGGACTCGGCGAGTAGCATGAAGTTGTGGAGAAACTCGATGAGTGGGATGAACAACTCGTCGAGTCGTATGAAGATTGCCTTGTACTCGGCGAGTCTGTTCTTGGACTCGGCGAGTCAGGTCGCGAAACCCCAAACCCTTCGAGTTGAGACTCGAATCAGTGAGTCGGGTGGAGACTCAGTGAGTTGGACAGGTCTGGACTCAGAAATCGGTAGACTCGGCGAGTCATGGACTGACTCGGCGAGTCGAGTCGCGAATGGAAGGAATCTGAACATTATGAACTCGGCGAGTCAGTAGGGTGACTCGGCGAGTAGGGTTGACCTGGAAGTTTGACCTTGACCAGGACTTTGACTTGGACCAGGGCGGACTTGGTTGTCTTTCGAGGGTCAGTTAGACTCAGTGTTGCATTGATATTGGTAGTTCGGGGAGCAAGGGGAGCAGGAGTTCCGTGAGTTGTCGGGCAGCAACTAGTGAGATCATCAGCAAGTTCAGCCAGTGCAGGTGAGTTTCCCTTTGTGTGAATGGGTCTAAGGCCACAATGTCGGCCCATGTAGTTATGAGTAGAAGACCCGGGGGTTAGCCCTAGGCACAGTATGCTAGTATTATTTTCAGGACGAGGTCCAGTAATAGCGGGCGGGTGCCCAAGGAATTGTTTATATGATAGTTTATACTTGTTGTCTGTGTGATACATGTATGTGCCTGGTAGGGAGGTGAGTGTGGGCGAGGTCCCGTATCTCACCAATAGCAGAGTGTGGATGGGGTTCCATATCTCATTAGTAGCAGAATAGGGGCGAGGCCCAAACTAGAACAGGAGTGAGAGTGGGCTAGGCCCGTACCTCACTACCATTAGGAGCGTGGACGGGGTCCCATGACTCATCAGTAGCAGGACATGGGCGAGGCCCAGGATAGGCGAGGCCTTAGGACAGAACCAGTTGTATGTGTTAGTTATGTGTTGTGAAATGTTTATGTGTTATTATTTGTTGGCGGGCGAGGTCCTGTGACAGGCGAGGCCTAAGTAAAACATATCTATATCCGAGCGGGGCTCGAAGCCAGGCGGGGCCTGGAGCGGCGGGGCCGTTGTAGCGGGCGAGGTCCGAGGTAGGGGGCGTGGCCCAGTATGTGCAGTATGTGGTTATGCATGGTATGTGGTAGGGTGGGGAACTCACTAAGCTTCGTGCTTACGGTTTTCAGTTTTGGTTTCAGGTACTTCCGGTAGCGGAGGGAAGAGCTCGGGGTGATCGCATGGCACACACCATAGATTAGACAGCATAGGAATGTTTACTCTGATAATGAACATGTGTTTTGAAAACTTATACTCATATTATGTTTTGGAATGATGACTTTACTTTAAGTAATGATTTATTAAAAGAAATTTTTGGTCTTAAATTTTGGGTCGTTACATCAAAACCAAAGTGTCAATAGTCAAACATATTATCGTAAAACAATATTAGAGTATAATCCCAAGGATCTCATGTGCGGAAAACATAGTGTGATGCGTTGTGATCGAGACAACTCATTTCCTTTGAAATGAAGTACCTGAAACCAAAATTGTAAACCGTAAGAACAAAGCTTAGTGAGTTCCCCCATCATACCACATACCATACAACATACATACTGTCGGACAATTCTGGGGTGCCCGACCTACCTTGCCAGGCATTTTTAGGGTGCCCGACTTACCCATGTCAAGCAATTCTGGGGTGCTTGACCTACCCTGTCAGGCCATTCTGGGGTGTCTGACCTACCTATGTCAAGTAGTTCTAGGGTGCTTGACTTACCCTTTCGGTTAGTCACAACCAGGCCCGAGGACTATTTCACCCCTACCACTATAGTATACTAATACATCATCAACACACTACTAGGCATACATGGGTACTAACTACCCCTTCGGTATCTTTCAACCGATATCCGGGGACTATTTCACCCCTACCACTACCACATTATAACATATCATGAACATACTGCTAGGCATGCATGGGTACTGACTACCCCTTCGGTATCTTTCAACCAGTGTCCGGGGACTATTTCACCCCTACTACTACTAACACATATAACATAGCATCCTAGCACATAAATCATATCAGATAGTGGTAAACCATACAATTATCACAAAGACAATCATCTAATAAAACATCTCCTACTAGTGGACCGACATTGTGGCCTTAGACTCACTTCTACCGGAAGCTAACTCAAATGTGGGTCCCGATAAGTCCAAGGCCCATAAATCCAATGTTAGGTTTTTCTAAACACTAATTAGGGTTTCCAACCCATTCATAGCCCAATAGGCCTAAAACCAACTCCTTAGACCACTTAGGGTTTATCAGGCTCGTTAGGGTTTTAGTCCAATTGTCTAAGCATCCCAACGAATCAAACACAACTAAGCACACCGCCACCCGACACGGCGGCTGGTGGCGACAACCACCACCTTACGGTGGTGGTTTTGAGTTTCTTTCCATTATTCTATTTTTTTGTTACAATTTACAATGCTAAAGTCTCAACTAAACACATACCTACTCACTAAGATACATACACCTGGCGGCACAATGTGGCAACCACCACCTCACGGTGGTGGTAGTGGCTGTTCTCGGTCTTCTGGCTAGATAAACACACACAACATATACTACACCAAACAATTGTATGAAACTAACACACACATGCATTGCACACACCATCACTTAACAACAGTGGTTGGCAGTGGCAGCTTGATGGCGGAATCTCGGAGAGTCGACAACAGCAGTCCTAATGATTGACAGCACCCTTGGCGGCCAATCTGAGAGGCGGCAGATGGTGATTATGGCTTGGAATGAATCACCGAGCGAAGGGACGAGAGGGATGGTGGAACTGTGAGCGATAGAAGCGGCGACATGAGGCGCTTCGTCCTTGTCTTCAACAGTGACGACTATCTGTAGCTTCGTCTCCTCATCGGAATTGATTACAGCGACAACAGCGAGGTGGTAAGGGGTTCGACAACACTGGTTGCTGATGGAGATTGATGAAGTAGCAATTGCTCGGAGGCTGTTTGACGGTGCTAGGTGGTCGGAGAACGGACGTAATGAATGGTGATGCCGCCTATTCAACTCCACAGCCCCGTCATCTAACATCCTCAAATCGTTGAACTTATCCTTGTCGGCCGTAAACATGATGGAAGTCCGGTGGTCACGGTATGGGATGGTAGCGGCACCAGTAAGGAGGTATAAGGTAAGAGACGGCTGTAACATGGTCACTAGGGTTAGGGTTCACGTTGCATAAATACCCGACACCCACTCAAACTTCATTCCATAATGTCACAAATGGTCCCTCCCTATAGGATTCTTTTCATAGGAAGTTCATAATTTACTCTTTCCACCCCCGCTCACATAATTCCTTACATATTTTGTGAAAACCCGAAACTTTTTCCGTTATCATTTAACCGATTTCCGTTAATAAAATTTGAATTTGTTTGGATTTCAATCAAATTCCTTGGTTTGGGAAAATTTTATACGAGTCGGAACCAAAAGTCGCGCGAAAAAAACATGAAAAGTCTCAAAATCTAACAGTTTTCGGCCATACACCTGTTTATGGCTATATACCTGTTTAAGGTCGTACACTTGTTTACGGTCGTAAACCCGTATACGGTTGGTGCCAGGTGGACTCCACCACTGACCATACCCTCAGCCTATAAATATAGGATCCCCACCTTCATTTGAACCTTCTTGGCCGAAAACTCTCTCATTCTCTCTCTAGAACCTCTGGTCGTAAACACCAAAAACGCCTCTTTTCTTCCGAAAAACATCAAAAATCGTCATTTGGGGTCGATTGGAGCATCCAGAACACGTTTTCTTCGAAATCAAACACCCTTGTTCTTGAGTTTACGGTCGTAAACGCTTTAACCTTCAAACGTCGTAAACCCTTCAAAATACAGTTCACAACCGTAAACCCTGTTCACGACCGTAATCCCCATTCACAACCGTACACACCTCTTAAGTGGTGAAAAACCCGTTTCCTCGATTCAACCAAGTCCCGATAACATTCCTTAACCAAAAGCAAGTGTTTTTCTAACACTTTGTCTAACGAAATTACTAATTTATATATATATATATATATATATATATATATATATATATATATATATATATATATATATATGTACTTATTTGATATTAGGATTCCGTTAAGTGCCACATACAACAACTCGAGGATCTTCCAGTTTAACATATACATATAACAAACAATGAGTTCATACCCCTACACTTTTATGTTTTTTATTCGTTTTCAGGGGAAATACAAGCCAAATACAAATGATTTTGTGAACTAAAACAAAAGGTTTTCAACCAGTTTAAAACTTATGCAATTGATACAATCCAACGATTTCCATAAAATATGTAGATATTTTATCCCTTTTGTATTATGCAGAGCATAAGGGACGTTTTCTAAACATAATTGCATAGTTTTCAGATCAAATCACGAACATAACATTTCCGTAAACCTATAATGGGTATAGTTTGGGGAATTTATCACCAGTTTTACCGATACACACTACTTACTTGGTCAATCATATAAACTATGTCAGATTTAGTTTATGATATTAATTACTACGTTCAGATAACAAGAGTATAACACTAAATAATTATTTTTCGTATAATTATTTATACTCTACCAAGTATACAAACGGTTTCAATTACGAGAACACAATACAGAACAATACGTAAATTAGTTAATACAGGATTGTGAGACATCTCTTCATTTGGACCCTTCGGAGTACTAGTAAAATCCTCAACATTTAGTATAACCAGAGTCTCCTGGAAGGAGAGCTTGAGATTTGTGAATAGATCTATTCGGGACTGACAATCTCACACCTAAACTGCTAGCTACAGTTAGGCATGCATGCTTGGGGTGACAAATATCATACCGTACGACGCCTGAAGAAACATCGTTGAGGTCACTAGTCATATCAACCATGGTTCTACGAACTCACAATAGTATAAACTAACCTTTGTTTACAGGATTTCATTCTTCATTAGTTTTATTTTAATTAATAAAATTAACATACATTACACAGGATAATTCCAGGGATACATTACTCGGTTTATTTTAAATTGATAAAACTACTATACATACTGGTGGTAGCCAGAGTTTTCAAATAGAACATACTATACATACAGTGACGAACAAACATGTTATAAAATATTGGATTTTCTTGGGAAACATGCATACATTATTATGACTCATTAACAGGTTGTCACTACAAAACATTCTTATGAACTCACTAGCTTTCTGCTGATATGTTTTCAAAATCGCTTGTATTCTCAGGGCATCAGTAGACAGGTACTCTCGCCGACTTTTGACAAGACGGAGCATTCAGAGTCTTGTCTTTATATTTTTTCTACTTTTGACGTATACAAACAATGAAACAAACAAATGTAAATATTCATATTATATTGTAATGGTTGTGTTTACTTTGATTACTATGATGCAATTATTGTGATACTACACATGACGTCCTCCACCCCCGAACATTTCCGCCATTTCAGTTTGGAGGTGTGACATATTTAGTCCCACAGTTACCATTCAACCCCTCCTTTACAATTATTCTCAATAAAGTCCAGGTGTTACCCTTTTAACCCCAGCCTTCAAAACTCTTTACAAATTAAGTTTTAAATTTACCATTTAGCCCTTGCTTCTCATTATATATCCATCTTAAGTCCCAATAATTTACCAAGTGGTCCCTACCTTCATAAATATTTACAAAACCAATACGAAACTTACACTTTTAACCCCCAGCTACTAAATTATGCCAATTTACTCATTGAAACCAACACCTTGCTATATAATTATTGATTTGGGGTTAGTATTCTTTCATTAATTTTATTTATTTATTTAATAAATGGGGTGTTACACTACTAGTCAATGAAGTTAAGGGTATTAAGTCACAATCTTCTTCATCTAATGTATGTGAGCTTCAGTAAAAATTTGCTTCATCTGATTACAAGCTCGACTTGATCCTAGCAAAATTATCTGGTTTAAATGATAGGCCACCTGAACCAGATGGGTAAAATGTAGATAAGTCCAGATCAAGTCAGTATCCTATCATTCATCAAATTCAAGACTCACCAAATGAGTTTGAGAAAAGGAGAAAAGAGAAATTAGACTCAATTAACAAAATGGTTGCTGAAGCAAGACTAAAAGCTCAACAAAACAGAGCACATATGCCAGAAACAGAAAAGGAACTCATTCGTAAGCAATGGATTAAGGATCCAACTTTAAAGGTTCCAAGAAGGAAAGAAGTTTACATCACCAACCTGTCATCATATCACAACTAATCGTCCAACCAAAGCTTTCTCAAGTCGATCCTAAGGATAGAGGAAAACACAAGGTTGTCTTCAAATCTAAGAAGGAGTTAGCCAAATAGGCTCAACAAAAGGTGGATGAAGAAATAGCAAAGGATCTTCATGCAGAGCAATTAAAGGCTAATCAAGATGTGCTTCTTGGAAAAAAAATCTTCATATATCTCTCTTGAAAAAAGGAACACATGGAACGATGAACAATTCCGAGCACTATCTCCAAAGAGGACCATCTTCTTCAATCCTGATAAATATTCTTATCAGCAGATCAAGGTCATCAAGCCTACAAAGTCCTTCACACCTCCTTCAAACCCTTCTTAGGAAAACTAGGATATCCCTGCACACCTAAATGGTACAAAGTTCAATCTATGGCCAAGTGTAATATATCCAGTTAAGCATGGTATAGACGTTGAAGAAGTGAAGATAATATTCCTCTTGGAGAAACCAATTCAAGTTGTCCCAGTCTGGAAAGTCTAAAATCGCTTGAATTGGTAAAATTGACATCAAAGAATTTCGAAAGATCTCATATGCATTCTTTCAAGGAAAAAGGACGGACAACTTTGATTTCATGTTTTCTGAAACTGATTTCCCTAGGATAAATCAGACTGATATCAGATCATTGATTATTTGGTTAAAGCAGAGGGCAAGTACAAATAAAGCTTATATAGATTCCCTACAACGCTTGAGGCAATATGTGTTAGATATGGTTGTTAATTTTAGTATCGACTGGGAAATTGGACAACTTGGAGAAAAGGAATTTGATGAATCAGATTTGGATCTGAATGTTGAAAATGAGTTGCCTGGAAACATACTAAATAACCACATAGAGGAGTTGTATTTTCCTCTAAGGGTCGATTGAGATTTATAATAATCTCTCAGAAACACATATTCTCTTCAAAATTTATTCAAGGTGCCATTGGTTTGTTAAAGAGAACTAGAGACCAAGATAATCCCTTAAGGGAGAAGATAATTCAAGAAATTACTTGGTTATTAAGTTTTCGACAGTGGTTACTAAATTTACGAAACAAAGTTTAGATTGTGTGTTTTTGTTGCTTTTTGTTATTTTTTGTTAATTGCATCGTGCATGATATTGCTCTTATTTCAACTCCTTATTTCAGTAACCATCACATAGGGGGAAACTGTTGGAAAATATTTGTATGTATATGTCACTTGAAATAAGTTGAGTTTATATCTATATCACTCTAACAAACATTATCAGAATGTTTCAGGTTGGAAAGATCCTGAAGATTCAACAAGTGTTTGAAGAATCAGATGTTGGAGCACTTACTGAACATGGAGCACTTGCAGCTGACATGGCGCACTTGCAGCTTATATGGAGCACTTGCAGTTTACTTGTAGCACCCGGGGGGGGGGGGGGTGCTAATATATATCTTTACTACTTATAAAAGAAATCTAACTATTTCTATAAATAGATTGAATATAATAATATTATTTTTTTAAGACGTACAAACGATTAAGCTAATATTACAAACAACCATTAATAAAATAATATTAAATTTTAAATTTGTTTTGATTCCTTATATTTCTCAGCAAAATCCTAATTTCATGGTCATTCAAAATTTAAAACCTTTTCATCCTAATACGCTTCAACAAATATCCTTTAAATGTTGCATTTGCAGCTGATTAAAATATCTCATAGCAGACGTGTGTTTGTTCTCTCCACCTTATAAACCCTGCTATAAATCCCACTGCCATGAAGTATTTCCCTTATAAACCCTAATCGTTTTTCTCCCTCTCTTAGACGAAGACAATGTGTTTTTTTTAAGAAAAAAAGTTTGAAAATATTCCAATTTCTCAAAAAAATTTACCCCAAATGCGAAACTGGGTAAAATTTTCCATTTTGCGAAGACTACAGGGATGCGAAATGAAAATTCTGC